ATGCTTCCCTTACCACAGCCCATGAGTGTATAAAAGAGCTCCATACATTACCGGTATTTACATTAAAGGGATAGCTAATTGAGAGGTACGCTGATAGCAATTACATTATAATTTCATAATTTAGGTTGGTACAGTAGTATAACTAGACGGAAATCTGTCTCAAACAAGAAAGGAAGGGGGATTTGTGGCAACATTTGAGGTCACCATACTAAGTACAGAAGACCATAGCCCAGTAAAGGGAGTGGCGGGACTTTCTCGGGAAAGGTATTCGAAGTGCCTATGAGCAACCATGAAAATAACTTCGGTCAACATTAGAGGGTTGAATGACGTAAGCAAGAGAAAGAGGTTCTTGGGGCAATTAAAACGCAAAAGGCCAGACATTGTATTTATTCAAGAAACCCACCTACGATCTGAAAATGACCCTATTTTGAGAACTAATATTTACCCAACTCAAGTGCTGGCCCCGGGCTCAAGTAAATCTAGAGGTGTAGCAATCCTAATTTCAAAGACGTTAAATTTTAGTGTTAGGAGCACTATAACGGATCCACTGGGGAGATTTATATTTCTTAAAGGTATGGTGAAGGAGAAAATTTGCACTTTGGTGTCGATTTATGGCCCAAATAAAACACAAATACCTTTTTTAGAGGCTGTATTTACAGAACTAACACATTTTCAGGAGGGGGATCTTATAATTGGAGGAGATCTGAATTATATGGCCAATGCTAGGTTAGATAGATCTTGGCCCGCCACCAATAAAGCCCAGAAATTACCAATAAATAACAGGTTAGATCAACTTTTCACAAGGTTTCACCTGTGTGATGCATGGAGATCGCTTAACCCTACAGAAAGAAATTATACCTACTTCTCGCCCAGACATTCGACTTTCTCTAGGATAGATTACATCCTCATTTCACAAACATTAATGCATGCGGTGGTGTCAATGGATATTGGAGACAAATACCTAACCGACCATGCTTGGCTAGAGGGAAGAATAGAAATTAACACAGACTATGGCATAGACAGGAAATGGTCAATGGACAGGAGGCTTTTATTAAACACGCAAGTGAGGGACAGAATAGAAATGGACTTAAAAAAAATTTTCTCAGAAAACGTTACACCAGAGGTTTCTGCAGCG